AGAAAGGCTTAGAGAATTTTATAAAAGCAAAAGACCAGGGCAACGGAGCTGATTTTGACTTTTGAAAAAAGTTTCCTCTGCTGAGCCCTCATGAGGCCACACTTCATGGGGAGCCTGGAGACTCAGGGCCCCGCGTCAGCGGGCAGCGGGACCAGGGCCCCTCCCGGCCGCGTGGCCCAGCGCGGGCAGGGGGCCGCGGTCCCCAACACGCACTGCAGCAGGCATTGACATTCAGAGCACAGACAGCTAATCAGGTCAAGACCCTCAAAGTGGCTTTTGGACTCATGTGTCACAAATCAGTCTGGCCGCCTTCAAGTGGCGCGGATTAGAACAAGCAGGGGACAATCCAGCCCAGAGCGGCCACCCTGCCCAGCCCTCGGCCAGAAGCTGCCGCCATCCAGATGCTAATGCGCTTAAGTGGCTTAAGCGCTGGTGAATGCGGAGGGCTTGGCAGGCAGACGGCCTGTAGCCTCCCCAGGACCCGATTCAGGAAATTCTGTCTCTCCCAAAGGCGTCTGCTGGAAACTTCTTAAAAAATTGCTTTATCTCGACACTTCAGGCGCGCTCCCAAAGGATACACATCTGACCAGCCCGGCCCCACAGAGGGGCCTCCGCGTGCCTCGGGCTCTCCGGGCCCTTTCTCCCACACCCGCCAGGAGCCACCTCATTTACCGGGTTTTAAAGACTCCCAGGCCAGGCATTCAGGCCTCTCCCCTGGCCTTTCAATCTGCAGCCGTGACCACTCATGCAGAAAGCCCCAGGCCAGGCTTTTCTGGCTCACCCACTTACAGAGGCATTTTCTCTTTTGAAAGGAGAAAAAAAATTCCCAAACTGCTGTTTTTAAAGACCCATATAGGATTACTTCATTATTAGCAGCCACGTGAAGGTCGCAGGGCAAGGCGGCCCAGCACGGTCTCCACTGGTACCTGGGGCGCCTGGTGTTTTGCTTGGAACTTAAGGGAGCGGCTGCTGCCGTGGGAGGACACCTGCTGCGCGGGTACCAAGGCTGCCGGACGGGCGCCCACAGGCCCTGGGCGCCAGCGTCAGCCCAGAAGGGCGGTTTGACAGCTGCTCCACTTGTACAAAACCACTGGTGGTCGGGGCACCTGTACAGCTGGCCCTGCCTCTCTGGGAGCTGCCAGCCCTGCTGTGCCCCGACTGCACCAGGTTCAAAATCTTAGTGGAGGCAGAGCCCCTGGGGTCCCACCAGGAACCCGCTGTGTGCAGCCCTCCAGAACCCTCTGCACCCTGCCAGACAGAGGAGCCCTGCATCCGGCCCTCGGGGGAGGAGCAGACCACCCAGCCCTGACCCCTGCGGACACAGCCCCATGGCCCGAGGTGAAACCAGCCCCTGGCCAGCCAGGCCGGGAAGGTCCCGAGCCTGCATCTCCTGGGTCTGCAAGCGCTGAGCAACGCCTGACTGGGCGGAGGCGTGGGTGTCAGAGCTGGGACAAGACGCTTCTTTTCAAAAGTACGTTCGCAAGTTTCGTGTAGTAAGTTCTGATCTGCAGTGGTAAAAGGCCCCTCAGAAGTTTCCTTGCGACGTTTGTGTCTAAACAGCGGTAAGGGCTGTGGTGCTGCTGCCTGGCCATCCGCTTGAAGAGGCCACAGGTGTTAAAAAAGAGCAACTGGTTCGCATTTGCCGATGGCCCACAGGCTTCAGACCCAGCTGTGGTTCTGATTTCAGACACTTGTCTCCGTCTGCACCCAGCATGCTGGGCTCAGAGGAAAGGGTCCCCAGGAGCCCCAGCTGACCCCAAATTTCCAAAGGACCAAGCATAGGCTGGGGCCAGGCGAGAACTGCTGCGTCTGGCGTCCAGGGCGTCCCCTGTGTGCCGGGCGGCAGTGTCTGCATGCCGGGAGCCAGGGTGTCGGGGGTAACTGGTGAGACGATGGTGACCATAAGGGACCTTCTTGGAGGAGGAGCAGGCCCGCGGGGGTCCAGGGGGAGGGCCCAGCCGGGCAAAGGTGAGTGGCAGTGTGGGAGGTGGGGAGAGGGCCTGAGGGGAGCCGGGGCGGTGGGGGCACCTGCTCAGGCGGGAGGGAAGGGAATGGCAGGTGGGCCATGGGGTGTGGCAAGAGCTGGGGGGAGGCATCTGTCCTGGGCAGCCAGGACAGAATGGGGGCGTCCATCGGTACAGGCCCACCCAGGGGGCCCAGGGGCAGAGAGAATCAGAACACACGTCCACGTTGCCTCTTCTCCACCCGAGAACACAGAGGAAGCGATGTACGTACTAGACACCCATCAGGAATGAACACAAACAGCTGGCTCCTGTCCGCAGAGCCCCGTGTGGGCTGGGCACCCCGTTTGGTCTCCCCACCTGGAGTCAGGAGTGCCCACGGGTGAGCGTGCAGCTCCGACGCAGTCCGCGGGCCCACGGCGGAGTCAGATCCCACAGAGGGAGTCGGTGCGAGGGGGTGAGCCCAGGACGCTAGGGCCCCGGGGCTGCGGGAGGGGCAGTCAGGAGCGTCGGGGGCCACCTGCTGGGATGCACACTTTCTGGGCAGCAGGGACACCTCCACCTCCCAGCCATCCTGGCGGTGGCTGGTGTTTCTGGCGCAGACTGGGTGTGGGAGAAGCCATCGACATCCTTCCCGTAACCGCAGCCCGGGCCTGGCACGTTCTCAGCGACGGGCCGCACGTCTCGGCCTTCTGGAAGCTCCTGCTCCAGAGGGACAGGTGGGCGCGGCCAGGTGACCCGAGTCCAAGGTGCTGGGAGAGGCTGCCCCTCCCCGAGCCTCCTGGTCTCGGCCCCTCAGGCTCCAGCTCCCCCTACCCGGATCTGTGCCCTGGGGAGGGGCCTTGGGAGGGGCGAGCAGGCCATCGTCTGGGGCCCAGTCACTCATCAGGGCTGCACAAAGTGTGGGGCGAGGCTTCGTCCTGAGCTCGGTCTGCGAAGGGAAACAGCCGGCCAGATATCTGCAGGCTGTTTCAAGGCACAGGGAGGGCCCCCGCTCGCTCCCACTGGGCCTCTCAGAGCCTTCTGCGCTTCCTTCCCTCCAGGTGGAGCAAGGATGTCTGAACAAAATCAAAACGAACCACAGAGCCAGTCTGGCCCCCAGGTTTAGATGCTCTGCAGGCAGGCATTGGGGGAACTTCCAGCATTTTCTTAGCCAGGAGAATGGGCTCTCTGTTTTTTTTCGCCCTGAGACCTCTTGTAGGGCAGGACACGGGGGCCCCCATTTCTGCCTGGACACCCCCGGAGAAGTGCGCATCACGAACGAGCCCACAGCAACCGGGCCGAGTGGGGCCGAGGGCGTCCAGCCCTACCGAGGTCTGGCGTTCTCCTGGCCCGTGCTCACCTGCCCGTGACGAGGCCGCTGCCCGTGAAGGGCGTAGGTGGCCAGCCAGCACATATACGGGGTCCTCTGTCTACTGCTCTGACCACTCAGCTTGTGGGTTAAGACTTTAGGGGCGGGGTTAACTCTTTAAAGTCAAATCAAAAGAAAACCAAGTGCAGCCGCTTCCCGGGCTGTGAAGCCGCCAGTCTCCGGCGGGCGTCCGTCCTCTACTTGGACACCCTGGGCCAGCCGTGAGCACAGCCAGCAGCCCCTGCGGGCAAGGTCGGCCTCCCCGCCACCGCCGTGAGGCGCGCTGCACACTGTGTCCCGCCGGACTCGGCGGCCTCTGCGCGCTGGGCTTCTTCCCCGAGTGGGGCCGAGGGCAGGACTCCCTCTGCCCCCCACAGGGCCAGTGCTCCAGAAGCAGCGCTGAGCCGGGCAGCCGGGGGTGCCCTCACCTCGCCTGGCGTCCCACGGCCACACCAGGGCTCCAGGCGGCCACAACTGGGCGGTGGGGCCACTGCCGGTGGCGGGAGC